GCAGCTCATATTAAGATACTACTCAACTGTAAAGTTCCTTTCATTTGCAATGAAAGATGCATGTGATACTTATAATAATAATGCAACAACCTGAGAAATTTAATTTTCTAAATAAGTATATTAGATTATTATTTAGAACAAATATTTAAAATTTAGGCACTCATTTTCACTCCTTTCTTTTTTGCTCCCTAAAACCATATAGAATAACTATTTACACTAATAGTTGAGGTGGAAAACAACAAACATGAAGGTTAGGCAGGATCTGAAGGGCATGTCTGACTTAGACTGAAGAAGACTGAAGAGGCATGACAACTAAATGCAGTGTGTGATCCTAGATTGTTATGACGGATATTATTGGAGAATTTTCAAAACTTAAATGTGGTCTGTGGCTTACATAGTAAGAATGTCATCAATGCCAATCTTCTGATCTTGATGGTTTCTTGTGGTTATAGGGGATGATTGTCTTTGTTTTTACAGAATATATACTAAAGTTTTTCTGGGTTGATGAAAGTAATTTTATCTACTCTTCAATAAGTTCAGGTGGTGGGGAAGGAAGGTTTTTCCTGTAATTTTATAACTTTCTGTTTAAAATTATTTCAAGATAAAAATATATTCACAGCATTAAAAATGTTTAGGATTGCAGTAAATGTAAGATTAGCTCAAATTGTGTCTTCTATATTAATTTAATGAGGATATTGTTTACTTCTTCACATATTTTTAAATTAATTACTATTTTCCCACATTTTGCTGATTCATAATCTAAATCTCCTCCCAGACAACAAATATTAATTGTTTCCAATGAGTCAATTATGGAATGTATTATAAGCTCTCTGGGTTGAAACTGTTTTGCCATCCCTTGCTAGTTGTGGGTTCTAGAGAAATTCTTAATATTTCTGTGTCTCGGTTTTCCCCACCTCTGAAATGTGGATAATAATATATCTACCACAGTGGGTTGTTATAAAAATTAAACTTGGTAATTCAGCTACTTTAGGTACTAGACAGAAAGTAGTCTGTACACAATAAATGTTAAGTGGCGATAAGTATCATTATTATTATGCTAACTTTATTGAATAAAAGTTCACCTAACTTTATCAAATAAAATAGAAACATCTTTTATAAAAATTTATATTCTTCGGAGCATTCCATTGAGATAGCACAATTTCTTTTTCCAAGTATGTATCTTTTAGAGACTTGAAATGTATCTGGACAACATAATGCTAAATTAAAGAGAGAATTTCTTAGAAGTAAAAGAATGCAAACTTCTGAGAAAAGTCACCTGTGCCAGAAATTATCACAATAACATTTGTAACAAACAACTGTAGGTATGGTGCTTTGTAAAAGAGAAATTTATGTTCGTGCTCAGGAGTTTGTAAGTTGATGGTGGTTCAGTTGGTGTAGCTGGACAGAGCTGGGCTGTCTTATTTTAAGCTGTGAGTTGTCTGGAGTTTGTTCCAGACAGTGACTTGGACTGAAGTCGGTTCCATCTATCTTTCATCCTTTCAAATCCATGCCTACAGGGGCATACTTTTTTCACAGGAAATGTTATGAGCACAAAAAACACAAAGCTCAATTATGCAGGCACTTTTAAGCCCTTTGCTTCGCATATCTTTCCCACTAAAGTTTCATTAGCCAAATCAAGTCACATTGGCTAGTTCAAAATCAATAAAGTGGGAAGTGTTCTCTGCCACAGTGGAAGGACACTGTTATGTACAATCTATTACAGGATACTGAAAAATTGGGAACAACAATCTATTCTGCAGAGCACTGTATGACAATTGTTTATGATTTGTCCTTGTCTAGAAATTGTGGGGCCTTTGAACCAACCACTAACAGTATTCAAACAAGTTCTTTCCCTAGCAACTGGGCTGCATTTGTTCTCTAATACACAGTTCACAAAAGGAACTTCAAATATTTATGACCTTGAAATTGAGATTTTGCCCTTGTTAAACTCTTTTACATAGATTAAACATGGACAGAATTATTATTAGCATTGTCCAACCAATGGTGAATTTCTTTCATTTATGCAAATTTACTTTTCAGTAAGATTCCTTTCGTATACACTTCTGGAAATTTTCTAAAATACCTTGTATATAACATAGCTCAATATGTGTGGGATAAAATAGTGAGAAACAGGATATTAATCTTGGAGAAATAAAAATGCTGTGACCACTAGAATTCTCTCAGGCTACTATATTATTTTGGCATGGGAAAGGGAAGTATTAAGTGACAGTATGAATTCTGGAGAAATTTACTATCTGAAGTACTCTTATTATCTTTATTATCTGAAGTGATCTTAAAAGTGCAGTTAATATACAAAGAGAATTTAGCTTCAGTGTGACATCTTTTAAGCTAACAGCGTAGCCTGTCACTTCCTCACACTTTTTGTAGGAAATCCTTTCTAAAAACCACAAGTTTATCTTCCTCACTCTACTTGACTTTTTATTGTTTATGTGCTTCCTGTGAAGATAACTAGAGAAACAAGGCTGATTAAAAAATAATAATAACAACCCTGTTCTTATCAAATACTTACGGGTAACTATGTGCTGCTGGAATTTTTTCCCCACCAGTAGAAATCCACTGTTTCGCCAAGAACTCACCCATTTGAGGCATTTCAAATGAATGGAAAGTGGTGGCTTTTGTTGTTGTTGTTGTTGTTTTTATAATGAGGCCTTATGACATTTCTAAAAAAAAGTGAACCGAATGCTGGTCTAATCACCAAAGAATGCATAAACTGGATTTTAAAGCAAGTCTTCTGCGCTGCTTCCCCCTGCTGGATGGAAGGACACACTCTTTCAGAAATGGATGAGAGCAATACAGCTTTTCATCTGGGGTGGCATGGTACTCAAATGGCACGTCCAGCATCCTTCTGAATGCATTTACACCATAATAAACATGCCAGGTGTTTGAGTTTCTTTCCCATGGGCAGAAATACCACAAGTACAGCCAAGGCTCAAAGTGGAAAATAAAAGCATGCCATTTGGAGAGCCGTGTTGGGAGTAGGATGAGCCTAAATACAGATTAAAAGTGAAAAAGCCAGGATCAGAAAATTCAATAAACAACCTGACTGATTTTTTTTTTATCATTATAAAGTCGGGTTTGGGGCCTGATCTCATATTTCCTTTCTTAAGACTGCTGGAACCAGCTCCTCACCTGCCTGTGATTTGATTGCTGTTTACCCTTTATCTCTTCCCTTTCTTCTCCAGAAAGCTTGTTACTCCGGCTCTGTAGAAAATATAGCAAACGGACTCATTTTCAAGGCAGCCTTGTCACTGCAGACTTCAGCCTATCGTAGAATTTGTGTTAACAGATCTGTCAGAGCAGAAGGGTAGGAGAAGACAATAAAGCTGGCAGATTTTTCTTGCTTAAATACAAACCCGTTTGTGACAGAAGAGGGAAAATACTGACCTACGTTTTGTTTTTTGACATCTGCCCTGCAGCATGTTAGCCTTGTTAAAGAAACAAGAACTGCAGTGATGGCTGGTACTTTTTTCCTGAGAAATGAAAAACAAAAGCAGTCACCTACTCAGAGAACAAGAATAAATGAAAGTTCAGATAGTCGTGTGGTAGTTGGAAACATGCTGTTTAGAGCATTGCTATTTAGTAGGTAGCCATAGAACCACCACTGGTCCTTCTATTAATATTTTTTTTCCTGAATTCCCCCATGATACATGGCACGATGCTGGCCAAAAGGAATGCTAGACATTCGTTTCCACTATTCATTCATAACATTCCTCCCCAACATAAGTGTCGGTACTTTCAGTGTTGCTTTATTTTCTTTTTAGAAAATGTTTTTGTCATTCAAGCCACTTTTAACTATTTTCACATCTGAGGCTCTTCCCTGGCTTATTTTTCCAGAGCTGCTGTGTAGTGAAATGTTTCTGATTGCGTCTCAGGTTCTTATTTTCATTTGGCTGGTAGAATCTCTCTCAGGGAAAGATTCCCCATCTTCTCGCCTCTGGATTCAGAACTGGTTGTGGGTCAGGGCATTCAAGCAAAACAAGGTTAGGTGATATGAGCCTGTTTATGGATCAAAATTTTCCTAAAGGAATCTGCCGAGCAATTCCTCTGCTCCTTGCAGTACTGGCCGGGGTCATTACTTGACTGCATTCACATGGCACCTGGGCTGTGTTGGAAGATAAAAACTAGACTTCACACTGGCCCTTGCTCTTCATCACATGGCCCTCTTTTGCCATGTGTTTCTCTGTCTAGTAGGTTAGCCTGAGCATCTTTTTGGCATGGTAACTGACTGACTTCCCAGAGGGAGAAAGTAGAAGCAGCTAGTCTCCTGAGGTCTTGGCTTGGAGGTTCATATATCATTGATCTAACAAAAATCACTGAATTCATCCAGTTTCAAGAAAAGGAGAGGTAAATTCTGCTACTAAAAACATGAAGGATATGTGGCTATCTTTTTCTTATTGTAATGGATGTTGGTGACTGCTGCTTTTGTTTTCTGTAATATAACTATGTTTTCATTTTATCTGTATTATTTTATACAAATTTGTTATTTTCTAAAGTTTTCCAAATAAAAACGTTTGAAAGCCTCATAGAAATGAGTTCTAAAATTATGCCTTTATTTGCCTCCAAAGAGTTTTTTCTGCACATAAATCTAAATTTTTTTAAGACAAAAGAAAATTTAAGCTAGATTCTAGTAGACTTCATTGTATATGCCCACAGCAAGGAAGAAAAACATATTGCAATTAAAACTTGTATTGCGTGGGGGGGAATGCAACTGGAGAGAGATGTTACTAGGACTGTTCAGTAAATTTTGTTTACTGCATTCAACATTTCAGCAAGCAAACCATGTGAGGAGGGGTGAGAATAAATGCACCCATTTATGTAGGTAATTTTTCTGTTTCATGCCTCTGATTAATCTCTGCGCCTTGCTTATGGGGAGTCATGCTACATTGGTCACAATTAATTTCAATGTTGTGTATTAGTCACAAAGAGATATTTTATAAATTGACTCAATTTTTTTTATTCTTTTGTGGTTTTCTTGAAAGATGAGAATGATCCAGAGGAAAAACAAAGTACTGAAGAAATGGAAGGACAGAACCAAGAAGCAGGTGGGCTCATATTCCTAAGCTTCATCCACAGAGGTGAAAAACAGCTTTCCTTGGTACTGTTTTCTGAAAACTCTTATCCCCTTTCACCAGGACAACTTCGTCCTCATTCACATCTCCCACAGGAAGCCCACAGCTCTAGTAATTATGAGTGACAATGGTTCCAATTAAAAGGTTACCTTCTCCTGGCTCATTCTCCATTCAGTTTTTCTTCCATGTAATGATAATTTGTTTAATAATACTTTGTAAGGGGTTGGTAGAGATTAAAAGTGCCAAATCAGAGTTTATGGTAGAACAGAATGAAGAGATTTACTTAAAGGAAAAAAAATGAAATGAAAAAACGTTTAAAGGAAGCTAATAATTGACTTTCCTTCCCAGTGAATAGGCATTTCTTACTGTTTTGCATCATATTTAGAAGTATCATGCCTCTGATACATGTTTCGCATGTTGTATGGAGATGGTATGGCAAAACAAGACTGCCTTGCCAAAATACCTGTTTATATATGAGATCAAAAGGCTCCCTGATATCTCTTTTCACTGAAGAGCAGATGTGACGATTGACTGTAGAACATTCACTATAGTTTATAAATTGAACATCTAAAAATAAAATAACACTTAATACTCAAAAGAGATTGTCATCACCCTCGACTTATCTCTTCCTACACATATTTATATTCAGGCATACTCTTTTAAAAGAGTGATAGGCATAGCATGTGCTTACAAACATAGCCAGCAGAATAATAATGCCCATCTTTCCTTTAGTTTCTCTGCCATGCCCCTAGCTCTAATGAGCCCCACAGAGGGGCACTTTGGAAATAGTGGGCATTATCCATGAGCCAGGCTCACCCTAGGCTGAGCTTTTGAAAACAACCCACCCATGTAGTATGGTAAGTTTTTTTGTTGAAAAATTCCTATGTTAACCTTGGAACTTTTGCTATAGAAATGAAAACTTTATAATTAACCTGAAGATGAAATTGAAGAAGGCCAATCAGAGAAAGCACTGAAGCAAAACTGCAAGGACCTTGTGTAGCTGCTCCAGGGGTCAGCTGGCTCTGTTTGCTAAAATGTGTTCCTTGCAGTGCAATGAGTTTTTGAAATGGACTGTTGCTCAACCCAACCAACCCCAGCTTCTTTTTTCTTGTTGTTGTTTTGTTTTAGAGCCACACACAGTGGTGCTCAGGGGTTATTCATGGATCTGCACTCAGGGATCACTCCTGACAGGGCTCAGGAAACCATATGTGTGCCAGCAATCAAATCCCAGCCAGCTGCATGCACGGCAAATGCCCACCCAGTATGTTACCATTCTGGCCCCAAACCATCTTCCAGTTTTTAACTCACATATGTTTATGCTCCAGATGAGTCTTACATAAAAAACTAACACTGTCTTTACTATTTGGTACTATGACAAGTATTGGTTAACTAAATGCTGATACCTAAGACTATTTTCTAAATGTTGAGGCCACACATATTTTATTTGCTCACTGCTCTCTTCTAAGCTGGATTTGTTCACATGGATTTTTTTCTCAAGTGTGTATGCAAACACACACACACACACACACACTCACATACACATGTGCAAGTACATATATGTGTTTTATTGATTCATTCTTTTCCTGTTACTAAGTTTTCTGTTTAGCTCTTGTCTTGTTGATTTGAGATCATCTTACCCGAAAGCAAAAAGGGCTTTAATGTAAGTCCTCTTCTTAACTTGTTAGATATATAGCATTTTTATCACAAATTTGGTACCTTCTAGATAATGAGGCATCCTAAAAAAAACAACTGAAGGCTTCTCTTGCAATTCCAAGTGGGCCTGCTGATTTACATAAAGCCAGAAGGAACTATTAATTTGTTATCTTGGTTAATGTGAACATATACTGTTTTTTCTACTCTGCTCATTTCATATACTCCTGAGTCCAAGTATAGATAAATGCAAGATACAATAGATACAAATTTTATCAGTAAACTCCATTATTTTCTATTATTCTTTCCCCCAGACCCCCCAAATACTTTCCAATCCATAAAACAACCAACTTCATTTTGAGTTCCATATCACAAAGAAAACATATTCCCAAAACAGCATGATACAGCAGTTTTGACTTTTGTCATAATCAAATGAAATGAAAGACATAGTTAATAATCCTCAGTCTTTTAACAAATATATATCAAGTGTTTTTGTAGGTACTACTCTCTGCCTTGGGGTATAGTAGCAAAAAATGAACAGAGCATCCCTGCTTTCTTAAAAAGCTTTAAGCAGCTTTGTATGTATTCTAGTGTTGGAATCCCAAAATAATTAATATAAGCAAATGTTGTAAGATTGTAATAAGTGCCTTACATATAAATTAGGTAATATAGAAGGACTACTGAGAAGATACTTCATTTACTGAATTTGGAGAGAATCCCCTAGAGTTTATTCAAACAAAAACTGGATGGTAAGATGTGAAAAATGGAAAGACCAGATTATGCAAATCCTTCAAGGGCAATTTAGCATGTGAAGAAGAATGAGTGGTGGATTAAGATAAACATGATATAAAAAGAGAACATTTGGGCCAGAGCAACAGTGCAGGGGGTAGGGTGATTGCCTTCCATAAATTTGACCTGGATTCAATTCCTGGTATCCCATAGGGTTACTCAAAACAAAGGGAGTGATCCCTGGACAGAAATCCAGGAGTAAGCCCTCAGTACCATCAAATGTGGCCCCCAAACTGAAAAATAAATTAATTAAAGATAAAAGAGATGTCAGGGGACAATATTATATCTGATAATGTGAATTTTTATTTTATTAACAAATACAAAGAGAATACAGTGGGAAGTTTTAAGTACAGATGATTAAATAAGCACAATCTACATTTTAATATACTTGTCCTGTTAGTGGAAATGGGTCAAAATAACTCAGCGTGAGACCATTAGAAGGCTGCAGCAAAAAAGCTCTGGTGATGTTTTTTAGAAATGGACTAATATGTGTTATATTGCAGAGCTATAAATTGCAAGATGTGCTCATGGAGTAAATGAGAGGCACTGGGGAAAGAAGCATCTAAGATAAGCGCTAAGATCACTAACTAAAGAAATGATGGCACCACTTACTGATATTTTACATGAAAGACTGGCCATAGGCACAATTTTTTTGTGGAGAAGTCTTAGCCATAGTACATATGAGAGGACTCTGCCATATGGAATGAAATAAAAGTCACTTAGATACATGAATACAGATTTCTAAGAGGAAGAGAGACAGATTTGAAAGTAGCTGACATATATACATTATTGACAAAAATTGGCATCTTTACTTGCTGTAACTTCTCTCCATTTTAATAATTATCTGTGTCTTAAATGTACTATTTTAATATAAGTTAACTTTCCTTTGTCCTGGAGGCCAATCATGAATGAATCACTTTGGTGCTAATGAAATTGAAAAGGAAGCGAACTTCTGAGGTCAATTGTTGCCGTGAGGGATGATAAACCTCTATTGGATGGTTTGAAATTTCCAAAATGCCTTTGGAAATTCCTGCGTATGATACCTTTCTCTTGTGCCTCTACATTAACATTATCAGACACACTCCCTGCAGTTTGGCAGGCTGGCTCACTAGAATGCTTGGCTAAGAAAGAAAAAGACCAGACTTAAGAACATACAGATAAAATCCCTTTGTAGAAACTTGTTAGGATATGCTTTCTTCCACAATCCATTACCAAGAAAAATAATGTGCTGTTCTTGTTCTTCTGGAGTAGGGAAGTAACAAAATGCCAAGAAAAATAGTAGTGACAAATCGTGTTCATCAAAATAGTTTGTAGTTCATTGGGTTCTGACTTAACTGAAGGTTTCTGTTCATTAATTATAAAGGAGAGGCAACACCACTAACTCTTTCAAAGATCATTTAATGTAGAGCACAAAGTTCACTCTTCCTTCCTGATGCAGTGAGGAAGTGGATGCAGTAAACTGGGAACACAGCTTGGCACATAGTAACTCTAATACAGTGTTTTTCTCTCTACTTTGTAGATGGTGTCAGCTCTGCTACTGTGACCAATCCTGTTTCAGAAGAGGCAGCTGAAGCATGTAAAGATGAAGGTAAGATGACACCCAATCACCTGGAAATTGTAACCTCTTAGCACATTATCATTTGGATTCAATTTGTATGGAAAAATAAGGCTGTGACTTCTGTCTACTAATCTTTAAGCTTTCTATTTCCAACAGAGTCAAATACCTCCCCCACTCTTATTTATTCTATGTTCTTTTTAGAATTTATATATTCACTTACATTTGTTGCTTTGAAAAGTAAACCATTTCATAAAATAAGAGAACATTCATAAAAATTATCTTTAAGGAAGATGAGAAAGAGGTGTATTTGCAAAATCAGAATTAGGCAATTTTTCTATTTACAGCTATTCAGGAATAAGTTCAAAAGAGTGGCACTTGGGCACCACCTACAAGAGAGTTCCATTTTCAACATATAGCCAATGTTTGAAAGATATCCTTAGAAATAAATGACAAAAACATTTCTACCATAAAAATTTGTCTTGGTTCTCGTAGAAAAATTAAGTTCAAAATTGTACAAATTTTTGAAGATTATAGGGCTTAAGAAAAAGATCTTTAGATATGAGCTGTTTCAAATAAAATAAAGCGAGGTCCAGGGAGATAATACAGCTGGCATGGGTCTGCCTTGCAAGAACAAAAAAGAGAAAGAAAGAAAGAAAGAAAGAAAGAAAGAAAGAAAGAAAGAAAGAAAGATAGAAAGGCAATCTGCCAATCAGTCCCTTTTCACTCTCCCTTGATTAACTTTCTCCATTAAAAGAGGTAATATTTTTATTTGTCATTGAGAACTACTAAAAACATTCCAGGTACAATAGATTACTAGACTGTTGTATTTGTACAAATGGACATCTGGTAAACCATGTGATTTACTGGGAAATTTTAGGTGTGCCTCTCTTCAAATGCTGAATTCATAATTTTAGTTTAGAATGTAGAGAAAATAGGTTCATACTTGATATAGATGTTTTCTGAATTTGTATATAGAAAATCAAATTGGTCTTAAAAAATTTATCCTTAGTTATTTGTATCATTCATTCCACTTCATGTTACCTTGTAACTGTATTTTTCTAAAAGAGGTTTCCTATATTGTGAAGGTGATTATGAAATCTAGGGTCAGATGGTTATGATTTAAATCCTAGCATTTTTATTAAAAATTACATAAACTTTGACAAATAACTGAAATGATGAACAAGAAGTTAATAAAGAATCAATCCCTTGGAACTTTAGTGTGTTTTTTTTAATCAGTGAAATGGAGATGGTAATTATATCTACCTCACCAGAAACAGTAGTACACATCGCTCAAATTTTCACCTGTAACATGTGAAGATTGAGCTTCTTAGAGGTAAATTCTGATTGATATAAGGAACAGACAGTTATTAAGAAGAGATATGATGGAAGCATAACTCATTTGAGGGAGCAGTTGAGAAGTAAGCATTCTGAGAGAACTGGCAGCCTGTCTCAAGGTGTCACGAGCTTCTAAAATGCCTTGGTTGTGGGGAAAATAATCTGTTTATTTAAATTATTCCATTGAGGGTGAGATAGCTCAAAAGAATAGTATACATGCTTAGCATTCCCAAGGGAGGAGTTGATCCCTAGCACCTGAAGGTCCCTTGAACACCACCAGAGGAGCTAATACCAATCACTTAGCCAGGAAGAATCCTTGAGCAATGCCAGATGTTCACCATAGCCCTCCCCCCAAAAAAAATAACTCTAATTGATATGTAACCTGATATCAACTGCATAGGAAGGGGCCTTGACCTTGGGTAAATGACATTGAATGAGACAATTTTTGTGCTGTTTGAGATAATCCTGGAAAACTGAGGTTAATGAGGGTGTGTGCAGCTTAAAGATATGTACTTCATATTTAGGGAGTTTGGGTGGCCCGAAACAGCACAGACCACATCTTAATTACTGTGGTACTCTTCTTATTTATTGCCTCTTTTTTGTTTGACTTTTGGGGACATGCCTGCCTATACACAGGACTTACTCATGACTCTCTGTTCAGGGATCACTCATTGCAGAACTCTGGGATGATATGGTGCCCTGAATGCATCCTGGATTGACTGCATGCAAAGGAATCACCTTACCTGCTGCACTATTACTCTTACCTGCTGTATAATGACTCCTGCCACTATAGCCATTTTTAGTTGTTTGTTTGGAGGTGCACCAGGTGGTGCTCAGGGCTTATTCCTGTCTCCATTCTCAGAGTCATTCCTGGCTGCCAGGGCTCAAGAGACCACATGGAGTGGCAGAAATGGAACTCAGGTCAACTGTGTGCACGACAACCTCCACACTTATCTCTCTGCTCTTTTTTTTTAATCAATCTCTTGGCCTGAGGACTGGTTAAGGACAGAGCAGGTGACCCTCATTAATAAAAAACATTAATAATATTTTACCCCTCATGTCAAGGCTACACAGACTTAAGCAACTGTGAGGGTATAAAGATCAGGTCAACATTACGAAACGGAGGTGGCCTCAGGCTTCATCCATAATGGTAGTCTGGCTTGCAGAATTCCCTCCCATCTCTCTCCTGGGTTGCAAGAGATGCTCATTTCCAGGGAGTTTCCCTTTTTTATTTTTCAAAATTTTATTTTATTAACACACCGTGAATGACAAAATTATTCATAGTTGGGTTTCTGACATACAATGTTCCATCACCAGTTCTACCAGCAGTGTTCCCAGGTTTCCTTCTCCTACTCCCCACCCTCAGTTCCAGCCTGCCATTTTTACAGACACCTTTTAAATTTGTTTATGAAAGTTTGGGTCTTGTGATTTCAGTAGCTCTAGCATTCCTTAATACTACCGATGTACCTGAATCCCCTTGACCCTCGCATCCAGGTTTTTTTCTTGATGCTAAGAGCAGACCTTTTCAGAGAAGAAAAAGTACCTTACTGGATTTATGCAAATAAATACCATTTGCATGTAGCATTTAAAAATATACTGAAGATGTAAGATCATGCCTCTGTAAGGGAGTGAAATCTCACTGAGATAGAGAAGTTGAGGCACCACCCCGATGCAGAAATGAAAGTTCTACTCACAGAAGGTGGGAGTCCCTCAGGAAATTAAGAACTACAGGAGAATTTAAAGGTCCAGATAAGAATATGAAAGGACCATCAAGAGTTCAAGACTTTTCCTATGACATGACCCAGATTAACTTTTATCTGTTCAGAGAATCCTGGGCCAAGACAATTTGGAGAAATTGTTTATTATAACTTCCAAAAGCCATTCTCTTGTTTTTCAACTCTAGACACCCCTGAGTTCTCTTGAATGTGTATGTCTTTCTCTTTTCTCTTTCCTTCCTCTCACATCTCTCTAAAATTTCTTTTACTAAAAACTATTTTGCTTCACCAAAAATAATAACCCTTTGTCATCTTTATTCATATTACTTGGCAGTAACTTCCAACATATCTAGATTAAAAACAATTTGCAGCACCTTAAATTCAATTATGTCACAATAATTTAAATTTTTAACTAATGTCAGAAAACATAGGTTCTAATGAGAAATCCTAAGTTTTCCTAAAGATATAAAGATAGAAATAAAACTAAACTAAATCAGAGTTTAAAAAAAAAGAAGAAAGTAGAATTCTTTATAAATCAAACACTTTGAATTCTAATCTTTCGTTTATGATAGTAATTTTAAAGTGTCATGAAATCAAATGCCAAAGTTTAGTAAACAAGAGAGATAATCTAATTTAAGTGCTCCAAGCTGAGATATTTCCTGTAGAGTTGTTTGGTTTGGAGATATCACACCTTCATCTAAGCACACTGTGATGTTTCTTGATGCTTTTAGTATCTCACACCATTAATTGCTCATACTATGATCACTTTTTTTGGATTACTTTTAGGATGTTTTTATATAAAACTTTTAATGGTGGTAAATCCAGGAACTTTTGTCTGATAATCAAAAATGCAGCTCTCAAAAAAGGTAAAAATTTTACTTTTTTCAAAATAATTTTATTGAAATATTAATACCCATTAACATTTGAACCTGAAAAAAGAAAAATATTTTGAAATCCACATTAACATTTAATCCAGTTTCAACTTAAAAAGAGCATATGGAATGCAATTTTTTTAAAATTCTGTAACAGCATTTACAGAGGACTACTGTTTTTAATTGATTATCAGTCTAAAGCTTAGACCAAATGTCTAATGCTTACAGAACTGCCATCTTGACTGATAGATATATAACTTAGAATAAAAAGAAATTAATTTGCCATTGAAATCCTGCAAGATTGAGGTCAGATTGAAGTTAAAAGGCAATCATATGTGCTGAAAATTCATTTCAAATATTCACCGTTATTAGCTTTCATGCAGAAATATATCTCCGTGGTAACATCTGGGCTATTTATGAGCGCTACAGTTATAAGATCAGTTCTAAAAATGCTTATTGTACTTTCCAGTTTAAGTAGGAGAACAATTTTGTTGACCAAGGTCCTGAAGGAGCTCTTGCTCCTTATTCTCTTAGATTTGTTTTAAAACTTCTATCCTGACCTAGCATCTTCTTGGGTTTTAGAATGCACTGTAGCACTGTCCTCCCATTGTTCATCCATTTGCTTGAGCAAGCACCAGTAATGCCTCCATTGTGAGACTTGTTGTTATTGTTTTTGGCATATTTAATATGCCCTGAGGAGCTCGCCAGGCTCTGCCATGCGAGCAGGATACTCCCGGTAACTTGCCGAGCTCTTTGAGAAGAACAGAGGAATGGCACTCAGGTCAGCCGTGCAAAAGGCAAATGCCCTACCCGTTGTGCTACCTGATCTGGAATTTTCTTTCCTTCTTTCCAGTAGAATTTCAAAGAATTTGAGACTTTGGTTTTTTTTTTTTGAGTTACAGTTTTGTCAGTTGTTTTACTTTATGTCTGTTATTAATTTGGTTTGTGAGTTTCAAAAGAAAGTGCATGAGAACATGTGGGACTGGAGCATTCTATGGCAGAGAAACATTCACCCCGACCAGTTCCACTGCGATGGATGGATGAAGGACTGGGGTAGCAGAGAAATAGGGCCTGGGCCCCAGGCTGATTTCTGAGATGATTGGTGTTG